ACAAAAGTGTACATATTTGTATTGAAGATTCACGTGTACTTTCGCATGTTGCCATGTAAATTTTCTTGCCATTTTGAATCGTCATGAAGAATTCTTGCCAGTTAATTCTGTTTCTCACTGCAGTTGAGCATGTTGTAATTTGCGAAATACTTAAGTACTTAAGTGCTGTTTACTAGTGCTGATTGCCTATTCCTAAATTAGAAATTTGCGTACTTAGTGGCAACCAATTTTGATCAGCACTGGTATATTTACATGTACATGTGTGTATAACTTGCGGTACCTATTTCCCACTTAGTAATTTGCAGTTTTTAGGAACAGGTACATGTACATGCGCCATCATGTCTGCCACCGGAGAACAAGAGAAATTGGAACAGGAACATATGCCCATTCCCTTCATGGCCGAGACACCCGATACTAACATGTCAGGCACAGCTGCGAATCCAGTTTCCCCTACCGAAACCAGTAGTGACAAGCTTCGTGCATCAGGAGCAGATCACAACCTGACACAGGAAGCGGCACAATCTGAACACTTTGAAAAGCGTTCTAGAATGTCATCACGACACTCCCACCGAAGCATCCGGACAAATTCCTCTCGTTCGTCGATTACATCTACAAAGGCCGCACTGGCAGCAGAAGCAGCAGCTTTGAAGGCTCAATTAGAATTTGCTGATGCTGAGGCAGAAAAGAGGGCAGAAATAGAAAAAAATCATGCTGAGCTTGCCAAATTGCAAACAATGCGTAACCTCTGTGCTACCCAAGCCAGAATACGTGCCATAGACACGGTTCTAAATGAAGAATTTGTCAACTCTGACATTGAAGAAATTGGAGAGGTTGAAAATCGTGACACAATGGTAAGGGAATATGTGCAGTCATTGCCCAACTGCCACGACAATGCAGGCCTAGCAGATGAGTCCCCACCATTGTCGGGATCTGAACACCAAGCAAATTCAGATGAAATCCCTGAGAAACCAAAGAATTCAACGCTGGCAGGAGATGACAGAAACGACTTGAGTGACCTGGCCAAAGTCTTTGCCAATCAGCTGAACTTGAGTCGTCTTCCCCCGCCAGAGCCCGGTGTGTTTTCAGGCGACCCGCTGAAATATCCCAGTTGGAGAATCAGCTTTGAAACATTAATTGAGAAAAGAGGTGTGCCCCCCTCGGAAAGGCTACACTACTTGAAGAGATATTTGACTGGACCAGCAAAGGAAGCAGTTGACGGATTCCTCATCCTATCAAGTGACGATGCCTTTGACCAGGCCAAGGCCCTGCTACAGAAGAGATATGGTGATCCGTTCGTCATTGCCAACGCATTCAGAGACAAGCTAGACACATGGCCCAAAATAGCCCCCAGAGATGGCAAGGGTTTGCGAAATCTAGCTGACTTCCTGCGACAATGCGAATCTGCGATGAAGACGAACGAGAATCTGAACATACTCAATGATGACAGGGAAAACCGAAAACTGCTTGCTAAACTTCCAGACTGGCTTGTACCAAGATGGGGTCGAAAGGCGCAAGAATGGAAGGAAAAACACAACAAATCTCCCCCCTACACGGAATTCGTCAAGTTTGTTGTGAAAGAAGCTGATCTTGCCTGCGACCCTGTAACTTCACTCCAGTCCCTCAAAGCGGAAAGACCCTCGAGTGAGAGTACGAAGCAAGATGCTAGAAGTGCCAGAAAGGAATCAAAGAGAGCTGCAGGAGCTAGCACGTTCTCTACTGCGACTGAGACAAAACGAAAAGGGGGTTTTCAAGATGAAGTTTGTCTACTTTGTGAGAAAAGGAGTCATCAGCTTGACGACTGTCGAAGTTTCCTTTCCAAGACGCTTGAAGAGAGGAAACAATTTGTGATGAAAAGGGGTCTCTGCTTCGCCTGCTTAACTCAAGGCCACAGATCGAAGCAGTGCCGGCAGAGAAAAACCTGTCAGACATGCAAACGACGACACCCAACTTCACTTCATGGTGATGTCAAGGAAACTCCAGCCCCAAACCCGAAGCCAGAGAGTGAACCACCCAAGCCAGTGGTAGCTTCAACGAGTTCACACACAAGAGTGAACAACTTCAGTGACACCTGCGTACAAGGAAAGAGTTCGATGATCGTGCCGGTATGGGTGTCACATTCTGACACGCCCAATCAGGAGAGACTTGTGTACGCACTCCTGGACACGCAATCGGACACCACATTTATCTTAGATGATACCTGTGATGCACTCGGACTCGATGGACCTAAGGTCCAGCTACTGCTATCCACAATGTTCTCATCTAATCAGCGAGTAGAATCTCGGAAGATCAGAGGACTACAAGTGAGAGGATATGACAGTAATCTGAGAATAACGCTCCCTACGGCATACACAAGAGGCATCATGCCAGCTAACCGCACACATATACCTACAGCAGACATGGCAAGACGCTGGCCCCACTTGGACAAGATAGCAAGGGAACTCATGCCGGTGGCTGATTGCGAAGTTGGAATCCTAATCGGATACAATTGCCCACAAGCCCTTGCCCCTCGTGAAGTGATTGCGCCAGTCGACAATGAGCCGTATGGTCAAAGGACAGACCTTGGTTGGGGAATTATAGGAATTGTCGACCCAGACCTGAGAGAGAATGAATCCGATCAAGTGGGAGTGAGCCATAGAATTCTTGCATGCGAGAACCCGACAACGTTATCCAAGGCAGAATGTCAAGTTGGCATGAACACCGTGAGAGACCAAGTCCTGCTTGCATTTAGAACACATGTCAAGGAAGTCATCAAACCTTCGGGGATTGTTGAGATGATGGAACTCGACTTCTCAGAGAGAAAGTCATGCGACGTTCCAGTTTCGATTGATGACCGCAAGTTCATGAAGAAGATGCAGGAAGGGATCCGCCAGCAACCGGATGGTCATTACATCATGCCACTTCCTTTCAAGGGGACTGAACCTCCTAAACTGCCGAACAATAAGATGCAAGCTGTTCGCCGCTTGGACCAGTTAAAGTCACGCTTCGCAAGGGATCAAAGCTACCATCGAGACTACTGTTCTTTCATGCAGGATATCATCGAAAACGGTTATGCTGAACGTGTTCCAGAATCCGAGGTAGCCTATGAAGACAGCGGTCATGTGTGGTACATACCTCACCATGGGGTATACCACACCAAGAAGCCTGAAAAGATCAGGGTAGTTTTTGACTGTAGTGCTAGATACCACGGAGTGTGTCTCAACGATCACCTTCTACAAGGTCCCGACCTTACTAATGCCCTTGTAGGTGTACTGTGCAGATTCAGAAGAGAACCTGTTGCACTCATATGCGATGTTGAAAAGATGTTCTACCAGTTCCAAGTCGATGCGGAACATCGTAACTTTCTTCGGTTCTTGTGGTGGAGCAATGGATGCTATGAAGGAGATCCTCATGTGTTTCGTATGAAAGTGCATCTGTTCGGGGCTACATCATCTCCGGGATGCGCAAACTTTGGCCTGAGGCAGATAGCTGATGACTTTGAGACAGAGTGTGGGTCTGCAGCAGCCAACTTCGTGCGACGAAATTTCTATGTGGATGATGGGTTGATCTCCGTTCCAACCAAACACGAGGCAACTGACCTGATCCAGAAGACAAAGGATCTTTGCAAACGAGGTGGCCTGCGTCTCCATAAGTTTGTTAGTAATTCTGTAGAGGTCATCGATGCAGTTGCACTGGAAGACCGTGCAAAGGGGATTAAGGATCTCGACCTTCGATTTGATTCCTTGCCAGTTGAGAGAGCCCTTGGAATTCAGTGGTGTATCGAATCAGATACCTTCCAGTTTCGCATCACTTTGAAGGATCAGCCACTGACAAAACGTGGAGTTCTATCGACTGTCTGCTCTGTCTATGACCCACTGGGACTAGTAGCTCCTGTCGTACTCGTCGGAAAACAGATTTTGCAGAGCCTCTGCAAAGATCAAGCTGACTGGGATGATCCACTCCCAGACCCTGTAAGATCTCGATGGGAGCAATGGCGGAGCAGCCTGATTCATCTTCAAGACCTAAAGGTATCGAGATGTTTTCGGCCAGAGGACTTTGGAGATGTGAAATCCATTGAAGTTCATCATTTCTCCGATGCCAGTAACACAGGATATGCACAGTGTTCATATCTACGACTTCAAGATACTGAAGGAAGAGTCCACTGTGCCCTGGTGATGGGCAAGTGTAGAGTCTGCCCGTTGAAGACTGTCACGATCCCTCGCTTAGAACTCAATGCAGCAGTTGTATCCGTGCGAGTCAGTGCACTTCTACAGAAGGAGCTTGACTATAAGGAATACAGTGAGGTTTTCTGGACGGACAGCCAAGTTGTCCTAGGATATATAGCCAACGACGCCCGTAGATTCCACACCTTCGTGGCAAACAGGGTGCAACAAATCCGGGACCAAACCGAACCAAACCAGTGGAGACATGTACGCTCAGAGGCCAACCCAGCAGATGATGGCTCCAGAGGCCTGTGTGCAAACGAATTGGTCAATCAATCAAGGTGGCTACATGGTCCTGCATTTCTACAAGAAAGGGACATTCCAATCGAAATCGAGGCTTGCAGTCCAACAGTCTCTTCTGACGATCCTGAAGTGAAGAAAGTGCAAGCATTCTCCACACATTCATCTCCGAAGCATTCTATGTTAGAACGCCTGGAAAGATTCTCACAATGGCATCGGGTCAAGGGAGCAGTAGCAATCTGTCTCAAGCTGAAACAGCGCCTGAAAGCTCGCCTCATCAAGAGAGGACAAACGATCAAGCCAATCCAAACACCGCAGGAAAGACCAATCCCTCTCTATGAACCAGCTACAGTTGAAGAGCTCTATCAATCAGAAGTTGAGATCATTCGTCTCCTTCAAAGACATTCCTTCGCAGGGGAAATGAAGATTTTGGAGTCACTGGATGTCAGCAGCAACTGCGTGGATCGACAGACAGCTGGGGTCCGAAACAAAGCCATGAGAAAGACAAGCTGTCTGTATAGACTGGACCCGTTCATCGATGAAGATGGCGTAATGCGAGTTGGGGGACGTATCAAGAGGGCTGACCTTCCTCCCAACTTCAAGCACCCGGCGATACTCCCGAGAAATCATCACATCACCGACCTGATAATCCGACACTGCCATGAAGTAGCAGGTCATCAAGGACGAAGTATGACCACTAACCAGATCAGGTCAAGCGGCTATTGGATCATTGGCTGCAGCTCTGCGGTATCCAGCATCATCTCTAAGTGTGTCAAATGTAGAAAGCTGTACAAACCAGTCATAGAACAGAAGATGGCAAATCTGCCTGAAGACCGACTTGAACCTGCTCCTCCCTTCACATATTGCGGTGTAGATCTGTTTGGGCCATGGTACATAAAGGAAGGCCGCAAGGAGCTCAAAAGATATGGCGTTCTTTTCACCTGTATGAGTTCCCGAGCAATCCATATCGAGACCACGACTGCACTTAGTACTGATGTCTTTATCAATGCGTTGCGTAGATTCATCGCCATTCGAGGACCTATCCGACAACTGAGATGTGACCAGGGCACCAACTTTGTTGGAACACGATCAGAGCTCAATGAAGCCCTGAAAGAGATGAACACCGATCATGTCAGAAAGTTCCTAATCAAGCAGAACTGCGACCTAGTTGAATTCAAGACGAATATACCAACGGCGAGTCATACAGGAGGAGTATGGGAGAGGCAAATCCGCTCGGTACGAAGAGTACTCTCGTCCCTAATGGATCAACTGGGATCTCATCTCGACGACGAGTCACTGAGGACTCTCATGACAGAAGCAGCTGCCATCATAAATAGCAGACCTCTGACCATCGATAACCTGAACGACCCAACCTCACTCGCTCCCTTAACACCGAATCACTTGCTGACTATGAAGTCAACATTGGTTTTACCACCACCTGGATGTTTCCAAAGCACTGATCTCTACTCGAAGAAAAGGTGGCGTCGAGTCCAGTTCCTTGCAAATGAATTCTGGAACCGCTGGAGAAAGGAATACATCCAGACATTGCAGTTGAGGCAAAAGTGGATCCGTCCACACCCCAACCTTGAAGTTGATGACATAGTGCTTGTTAAGGATGACACGCTCCCTCGCAACAGGTGGCAACTGGGCCGTGTCAAGGACGTCTTTCCAGGAAAAGATGGTCTAGTGCGTAGTGCACGTCTTCTTCTAGGCGACCCATTGCTCGACGTAGAAGGCAAGCAGACGCATCCCAAAAGATACTTGGAACGTCCAGTGCAGAAGCTAGTCCTGCTTGTCACAAACAAGGATACCGGAGAGTTCCCCGTCGAGGAGCCTAAGTAAGACAACTCAGCACACCAAGGAATCAGATTGAACCTTGTTGCTACTATGCGTACTTTTGCCAAGAACGTAGTACTAGTTAGTTAATTAAGTGTAGTTTTAACCAGTTAATTGTTTAGTAATTCAAGGGTCTTTCAACGTACAAGTTGTTGTTTAATGTTTCTGTGTTTTGAAAATTAGAGTTATAGTACTAATTTTGGGGAGCCATGTT